CTAACGAAATAAAACAACAAACAATGTTGAAACCACCTAGAACATGCAAATTATTACAATGGTAAGTACCCGTAAAAACTTAGAAACCTAAAAGTATTTTGAGTTCAACGATCAAATCTGAGAATTACTGCTGATATACGTATACTTTACCAGTGATTGAAACGAGAACAAACAATGTCAACCTGGTAGAACAATCTGAAAGAATGATAATATTCAGACCGTAACCTCTAGAACTTTCTGCGAGCTTAACGAGCGACTAGATACGCCACCAGCTGATTCAGCTATGCTCTCGAATTCAAGTCAGGCATCGTAACAACCGCCGGAGCCATGAGACGGGATTGTCGGCTTTCGAGATCATGTCTAAGTTCCTGAAAGAAACAGGAAATGATCAAGCTCGGAGAAAAGTATTGAAATGCTTCGTGGTGCGCGCAACTGTACCACAGCTAATAGGTCATCACTCAACCATCACAAAACGCTCAAATCTAATCGCCTAATGTTATCCCCTGTTGAAGTCAAGACTTGATCCTGTTGAAGTGAAAGATCTTGTCATAAGAAGCCGACACTTTTTGCCGAAATTAGCTCAAACGTGCGGAAGGGAAGAAAGCATGGCTCGTTCTTTCACCGTTCGTTCAGACTTTGTCAAGAATGTGCTGAACGAGCATGCGTTATTAGTTTCCTTAACCCCCATAACTAAGATTATGGCAAAGTTCGGCATAGAGGGGAAAGGGAAGTACCGACAACCTGACGACCTATTTTGCAGAGACTCGTAGATTTCTGTGAAGCAACGAAGTACTACAACTTTCAAAAAAAAAAGAACGCTCTTTCCTTGTTTTCAAATATATGTTTCAGTTCACTTCGTGGATGATTGTACGATTGTGAGTCAGAAGGATGAGGGCTTATATTCAAGCGTCAAGGGAAGCACTCCAGAGTGGGCAGCCCGATTTGTTCAAATAAGGCTCAAAAAGGTAACTCGTAGCATTGCTCAGCCTCCAAGGTGATTGAAGAACTTTACAGAAAGTTTTCCGTTCGCTACATCTAGTCAAACTGCGTCAAGATTATTTTTTAGAGAGCACATGATGGACGCTGGGCATTCGCATCTTGTTTGACCTAATCGTAAGAGTGGGTTTAGAAGTTTATAAAGGTAAGGTTAGGTGTTCGTACACTTTCTGTTGTGCTGTGTGAATTAACTTGGAGCAGGGATGCGCCTCTTTACGTGCATAATTTCTGGTTTTGAATGAACAGGTTTAAATCTTGTCTTCAACATGAATAAATAGGCGATAAGAGATCATGAGAACATAGCCTTATTCGAGAGAAACTCACTCTCAAGCTTTGTATCTTCGCGTTACAAATACAAACTTCATTCTCTTGCACAGCTACCAGAGCAGCAGCCGTTTTCATTTTGATGAGCTGCAAAATGAAAATGAAAACCCAGTGAGTATAAACGATAGATCGCAAAGACACAAAGGAACTGGGGAAAACAAAGATGCTCACTTCAGCAACGAGCTTGTTCTCCAACGTTAATGACTGAGCTACGAGGTCTCGCTGAAATTTTTTTTGTTCAGAAAGGGGAAATATCAGGTGTAGGACTCAGAAGTATCTGCGCATGAAACATTAAAAAATATCAATAAGATGACAAAAACACGACAAGACTAACCATTTCTGGATCAATATCCAAGTTCAGCTCAATCTCCTTTTGACGGGCGAGTTCTGCATTGTAGAAAGTCCTCCAGGACGTAACGGCATCTTCTTCTTTTGACTGAATAAGAGAGTTTTCAGTATTTTCTCTGATGGGAGCACTATGAACAGCCTGAAGATCTAAGCAAGAATAAGAAGAATAAGTCTAGGAAGACTGCAGCTATTCACGGTAGTGGGTTACCTTGCTAAATACTTATCATTCACATTCAGAGATTTGAGATGATTAGGTGAGAAATACCTTTTTCACTGGTGGTTTTTTCTCTTCTTCTTCAGCTTTGGCTGATGGAGTCGGCTCCTCCATTGCATCACTGCTTGCTCGCTCCCTCTTCACAGGACCAGCACGACTGGGAGTCTCCGTCGTGGGACGCTGTCGAACAGGAGTTGCTCGACCGTTAGACTCATCACCAACTTTCTCACGGGGCTCTTTCTTTACCACTTGTGCCTTCAAGAGTTATGTGAGAACATGTGTAGCGATGAGAAATAGTGAAACTTACCGATGAATCTGCATTCGCTTGTGAGACTGGTGTCTGTTGGGAAGCTGATGATGGAGCGGTGGCGTGTCGCGTCTGCTGCTGCGAAGACGGTGGTGTCCCTCTTGGTGAACGTTCCACTTGAGTTCGATCTCTCGAGAAGGGTTGATGAGAATTTGATTGGGAATGATGTGATTGATGGGATGGTTGTGGAGTTTGTGGCGATCGTTGAACACGGCTCAGATGTGACGCGTGTGATTCGTGTTGATGTGGAGCTGAGGTGGACGGTGGTGGAACGGCGGCGAATGCCGGAGGAGGAGCCGGAATAGGTGGATTGAGAGGATGAAGCAACGGTGGTGCTCCTGTAAACAGTCGTTTACAACCTCGATAGCACATCTAATCGATTTAGTGAAATAATCTTTCCTAGGTAACCAAGCGAACGTTAAAGGTGAAATAAAAGACGTGTGAGTTCCGCCAACATAACGAAGCCGAGCAAGAGGAAGAGGGATATAAAATTGAACAATGAAACATGAGAAGGTCTATGTTGCAGACTCTTTTCCTCCCCAGACGCCTGCTAAAGGGCAGAAGATTCGGCACTATTGAACTATTCCTACCCCAGAACACTCAAAAATTTTTTTCGCTGAAACGTTGCCTATAGATGTAATTCGATGCGCTGATCACGAATATAACATCCGTTTCGAGCGCTGGCGTCATTTGGCGCCATTATGCGCCAATTTGGCGCCCACCACTTTTTTCACCAAAGTTGATGAAAACTTGCATATGGGGGTTAATTGAGGTCCTGATTACGAATCCAACATTCATTTTTGGCGCTGGCGCCATTACGCGCCAATTTGGCGCCATATTGGCGCATAATGGCGCCAAATGGCGCCAGCGCCAAAAATAAATGTTGGATTCGTAATCAGGACCTCAATTAACCCCCATATGCAAGTTTTCATCAACTTTGGTGAAAAAAGTGGTGGGCGCCAAATTGGCGCATAATGGCGCCAAATGACGCCAGCGCTCGAAACGGATGTTATATTCGTGATCAGCGCATCGAATTACATCTATAGGCAACGTTTCAGCGAAAAAATTTTTTTGAGTGTTCTGGGGTAGGAATAGTTCAATTGTGCCGAAGATTCTGTTATTTTCCGTGACAGGGAGTCTGAAGTTCAGTAACAAATGAAAACTGTGAGACCAATGAAAAAGATGCACTGTTTTCAGGACATAATTTTATTAGACTGTTCCACAAGTTCACATTAGTTTCTGAATACCATCCAGTTTTTTTTGTTGACTTCCAAGCTTCTCTACTATGAGCAGCTCCAGGTGGAAATTTTTGGAGCCTCTCGGAAAACATGCCGTTCGGAGTAACCTGATGTTATTATACACCGTACAGCTACAAAATATCGCGGTCCAAGGGACGCGACGGGGCTACGGCGATCAGCTGTTTCCAGCCTTATTTAAATTTTCTCCCTAATTTTCACTGTATTCTCTATTTTTTTCAAGGTAATTTCCGTTATTGTTTATATGAGGTATATTAAAACGTAAATTCTTCTTTTTTTGTCTGTGTAATGATGTGTTTTTCGCGATTTTTTTAGGCATTTCTTTGTTTGTTTAATCGTTTAATTGTTCGCAAACGTTAGAAAAACTCAATCATAATTTACCTTGTGAAGACAGGGAACAGCTAACATTGAAAAAAGCAGCCAAAGACAGTGAAAAATAGGGAGAAAATGACTAAAACAGGTCGAAAATAGCTCATACCGGCAAACAGTTCCTACGCACGCGGTCGCTGGTCTGCGGCCCTTTAAGGACCGCCCTAATCAACTGCCCGGATGATGAGTGTAGTTCAAGATTATCTCCCAGTGAAGCTACAGTTTCGAAGATCACCGTTCCGGACAGAGCATCTGCACTGGTTGGAGAAAAGTCTTGTTCAAGCAACATGTACCAGTCGACCGCATATCAACATCTGAACAGATGTGGAGCTGCCCTGAGCCTTCGTTCTCGCATTCCTTCTGGATGACTAGCTAATATCTTTACTAGAGATGATAACCGATATTGTTACTTGTAAGTGGAAGCTTCATTGGGTTAGTGCCCATACAATGCCGAGGAATGAACTATGGAGGAATATCCATCCACGAAGATATTGCTACCCATTTGCTGATATTTTAGGATGTAACTTACAGTAAGTTTGCGTAAAACCGCAAAAGAAAACTGCCATTTGCTGCGCACAACAGGTCCTACACTACACCTACGGACTAGCGCCTTAGCGAATTAGACAGAATGGCATGCGGAACGAATTAAGCTGACATTTCGACCCCACTCGTTTCTCGAACGCTGACAAAATTTCTGCCTGTCCGCTGCCAGAGAGCGAAACATATTGATAGCGACTATTGTTGACTGATATTTGCTAAATTAAAATGAGTACCCAGTGAAACAATTAATTTAGACATAAGTTTGTAAGACGTCCTAATATATTGAGTTAACCCATAAGTAATGGTGTTTATTTTTTCATAAGTGGATTTTGTGAGAAAACTGAAGAGGTTTCCCAGTGTATGCTTTTCTATTTTTTGATTTCTGCCAATTTTTCGAGCGGTGCAAAAAAATGTAGCGTCAAAGATTGATCCCATATTTGCAATCACAGTAAAACGCTACCACATAAGTTCCACAAAAAAATCGACATTTTACCTACTTTCGGTGATAGGCGGTGAGCACCGTACACTACTAAGCAACACCCTTGAAGTTTTCCAACTGTCCTACGCGAGTGGCTCGCATGATCTTCACAACTTCTGGAAAGACACCTACCTGTCCCTGGTGGTGGAGTAGTATACTGAATTGGCGAAAAAATTGGACCGACGTGGGGCGCGGGAGGAATTGATCTAAATGAACACGGATAAAACCAAGCAGTTAAACCTGAGAAAAATTCAAGCAAAGCATCCTTACGTTACGTTAACTATTGGCGATATGAGTGGTGGCGGGAGACCCTGTGTCACACGAGGAGACGGTGCCGCTGGTGGGTGTGGAGGAGGTGGAAATCTGTAATTCGTGAACTCTGTAATCCGTACAGCTTCTAAAAAACAAAAGGTTCCACTAACGAAGTGTTGATTGGAGCACTAATTGTAGAATTGATACGAGGTGGAATCGGATATGGAATATTTGGAGGTGGTTGGAATTGATTGTACGGTGGAAATGGAGGTGGTGGAGCTAAAATAACATCGTTAAAATTTCATATGCAAACTAATAAAGTGCCAGAAAATAAAAAAAAACAATGTGTGAGATAATGAGACAGCTACCATTCATAGGGCCCACTGGAAATCCTGGAGGAGCAAATGGAGGAGGAAATGCGAAAGGAGGAGGGGTCATGAACATTGGCGGGGGAGGAACCACAGAGTGTTGTTGTTGCACCTGAAAAACAGATAGGTAGAACTGGATATCACACAGACTGTAGAAATGCCGCACAAAGCGTAATACAATGGCAAAATAAAAGAAAATCCTCGGCCGGAACACGAAAGGGAGTAACCAGTGGTGTGAACATAATTCTTTTCGAGAACAGCACTTGTCGTCAGATGATGTCACATGGAAAATTCAAGCCCCAGTAATCACCTAATCTGTAGAGAATCAAACAGTTCGAATTCGCAACAAGGCGTAGATTGGATTCGAAGCGATCTAACAATATACAATATAATATGGCGTCTGTTTGCCGTTCGGAAATTCAGTAGCATATGAAGAGCTAGTATGAGGGCCGGGTCAAAGCTGGGTTGGGTAGGGCATGGACAAAGAAATATGGAACACACACTGAGCTGCCCCTCCCAATGTGAGTGGGGTGAGCGCACTGTCAGAAGCTGCTTATTTCGAAAATTTGTAACCCGGTCCCAAAAGAGCCCGGAAACGGAAAAAGTGGGAACCGCCAGGAAATGGAAAGTCGCATGGAATGAGGGATGCACATCCGTACTACATATGAATGGGCGGCACTCGTTTGCAACTCACTCGCGGACTTGCTTCTTTTCGTAAGTATCGACGGTAGGGGGAGAGGTATAACTGGAACTCAGAAAAAAGTGAGTCGTATAGACTCATCATAGTCAAGTTCCTTCTTCCTATTGGATACTCCAAAGACTGAAATGAACATACTTGTTGCTGCATCCTTTCCTGTTCAGCAGTCAGACGCTCCTGCTCGACTAGACGCAGCTCGTATTCTCGCCATTCTTTAGGTTTCTCCCATTGAGATACCTTAATAGAATGGATTTGAGCAAGAATATTCCACTAGACTGAAATAAGTTATTCCTCGTCCATGTCTACAAAACCTGATTGTTTCTTCGAGTCAAAAAATAAAACCGATAATTTAGGATCCACGATAGGAAGTCGAACAAGCAAGAGAGTTCACATCCAGAGCACATTCTGACTTTGCAATCCAATCGTTTGGATCACGAAGTTCGAATGTTTAACTTCTTGAGTTTATATGGCTACCAGCAAGAAGTTCATAAAAATAACCCAGAACTTGACTAGTTCACCGTTCTAAATTTTCTTGTTTTTTTTCAGTCTTTATCCCCTTTTCGAGATGAAAATTGCATCGTTATAACCGTTGTTTTACGGAAACACCATAATCACAATAATCCCGTATCCCCATAAAAAGACCAGCTATTCTTGGGTCTAGTACTGTCAACAACCTCTGAAGGTACATATGTTTTGGTGTAACCATTTGTAAAAACTCCTGGATCGCAAACAACATAAAAATTTGTGTAGATGTGCTGGACCGCCTTGGAGAATTCCGAGTCATCCCGAAAGTCAAGAATTCATGCGCTTTGTAATCTCTGAAGTACCCGATTGTTTTTTCCTCAGTGCACAAACAAAAGATATCTAGACGAGAAACAAGTACGACAGCACACCAAGGCAGGCTATATTGGGCACTGCCCGTTTCTCTATCAAAACCGCTTTTCCACATAAGCTGGCCACCCCTCTTGAAGACTTCGACGTTCGCTCCCTTTTTACATTTTTTCTTAAAACTTGCCTAACCGCGAGTTCTAAGCGAAGGCACAGACTGGGTAAGTCAAAGCTTGAAAAATTAAAAAGAATTCATCACAACTGAAACACTTTGAACTAACGCCGAGTACAAGTACTTTACAAATAAGCAAGTCGAATGTCCCTTCCCTCGTTCTAACATGCGTCCTTCAATATACTGAGCATTCACACGCTTGTTTTTGGAATTATTTTACGAACCAGAATATTTCACAACAGCTCAGAATCT